AAGGAAGCGGAGGGCGGCGGGGGCCGCGCCGGGAGCTCGCGCGTCCGCTGGAGCGCAGTCCACTATGACCCTCCTCGCCCTCGGCTCTGGAAGACGGCTGGGCTTCGTGCATCGCTCGGGGGCGGTTTTCTTGCAAACCTTGCTTTGGATTTTATGCGCTGCTGTCTGCGGATCGGAGCAGTATTTCAATGTGGAGGTAAGGGTACCGGGCTGGCCGCTTCCCCTGGCTGGGCCGCCGCCGACACGCCTGAGTCCCCGCGTCCGGGCGCCCCGAGCGGCCGGGGTCTGAGCCGTGTCCCTCCAGCCGGGCCGATTTGCGCGTCTCCATCTGGGTGATGGATGCGCCGAGACCGAGTCCGTTATCCCCGAGGCACAAAGGATGCTTTGCGCTCAGCTCGGCCGAGGCGATGGGTCCCGCCGCCACCGGGAGAGGCCGCGTGGGGCTCCGGGAGGCAGCCCAGCCCCGGTCCAGGGGGAATCCACTGCTCGGGAGCCAGGACCCGGGACTGGCCGCCGGGCGTCCGCGCCCCCCGGGCGGTCATTGTTCCGGGAACCTGCCTGCGCTCCGGCTCCGCGTCTAACAAAGGCGGCGAACATCAGAATCGGGGCGGCAGGGGGGCGCTTGCTCTGTTTAATCGCGCAGCCTGGTGGCAAAACACTTGACCAGACGGAGTCTTCGTCTCCTCGGGACCTAAGCTGATGCAGGGGCTGGAGCTGGCGGCGGGCGCGGGCGCCGGCTCCTCCCAGCGCCCCCTCCCCTCCCCCGCCTGCACCGACGTGGCCGGCGGGCGGCTCTGAGGTGTGTTTTTAATTTGATTTCACACTCTTCGGGCAAAACGGGGAGGTTTTACACCGTCATTGGCTTGGCGAGCTTTGGAGACAGACGGACAGACAGACCCAAAGCCTCAGGGAACTTAGGGGCCAGGACTTGCCAGACCTGGCGAAGTGGCCCTGCTGTCATCCGGAGCCCGCGGGGAAGCCTGTGTCCCCGGGGCCCACGCGGGGCTGGTCACGGGAGGGTCCTGTAGGAAACACCGCGGCCCGTCAGGTCCCCGCGTCTTCGGACGTCTCAGGAGAATTAGGAGCGAGTCTGAAAAGCGCGTGATTTTCTCCTCCTGCCGCCGACGCTCCTAAGCTCACTGTCCGTCTGTCGGGAGTGTGTCCGCACAATAGCGGGACCTGTTGCGCGGCGTCTGAGCAGGTTCCGTGGGACAGACGCACCTGGGAAGCGGCCGGGCCGGGAGGGCAGGTGGGAGAGAAACAAAGTATCTGGAAAGTAGCAACTGTTCTCTGAGCTAAAGAAGTACAGCTGTTAAGATGAATCTGCTATTCGAAAACCCCAATTTGGAAACCACAGTGGTTTAACCCTTTGAAAAACACCACTTTGTTTCCCTGGGTGGGAGGAGAGGGAAGGGGGCTGAGTGTGCAGACTGCTCTCGGTGGCACATTGGAACTTGTGGAATCGGGTGGCGGGCGGAGGCTCGTAGCCAAGGTGCAGGGATGTCCAGAGGGGGACGGAGTGAGTTCATAGACTGGACTCAGCTGGGGTGGCAGCTCTGGTCACAGCGCCCTAAACTGCTGGTGCTGGGGGGTGGGGAGAGGTGGGGCCTGGGGGCACCATGGCCCGGAGGCCTGCTGCGGGGGGGAAGGCTCAGATTGCTTTGCAGACATCCTTGGGGAAGCGTCAGTGTTTCCATGGTGAATACTTACCTTTTTGAGGCTAAACGCACATTTGATCATATTTCTTCATAGTTTGAATCCCTCGGTTCCATCTGGTATTATCATGCAAGAAAACGTTACGATTTTACCAAAAATTTAGATTTCCATTATATCTTCTCCTTCCAGAGATATGGGGGAAATGGTTTATGGGAGGAAATTTGCTATTTCCCCATTTTTAGAGCATTTAAGTTATTCCATCCATATTTATTATACGATGCAAAGATTTAATTATGGAAAGATGAGAGGCGTGTGTCACCGGAGACCTTACACAGCGTTTCTAATGGTTGATTTTGTGACTATTTAGAGATTGTGTTCCATGGTTCGCGTTTTCCCCAAGCACTTGGGCACGGCCTCCACTGGGCTCATAGTTCCTGACCTGTAAGAAAAACCCCCCCTTTTCCAGTCCTCAGTGCGGCGGCTGGAAGCCCCCCACGCCGTGGAGAGTGCGGGATGGCAGGACCGTCTCCGGCATGAACGCCTGCCCGGCTCACTTTCATTACATGCTCCTTTCAGTAGGAAGCCCCGATGGGGAAGACAGGCCGTTACATCTGCTTCGGAAAAGGCACTTAGGCTGTGTCTGTCTGCCCGGGTTGCAGAGCCTGCACTGCGAGGCTTCGCCTGGTTCATGGTCAAGGGCGGGCTTCGCATAGACATCGGACGTAGCAATCACGCGTGAGGCTCCGTGGCCATCCCCACTCCCTCCCAAGCGCACGCCTTGCTGTCGTTGGAAGGACGTCCGCTCTGGGAGATGCTTTCCTGCTGCCCAGGGGACTACAGTGCTCCCTTCCTCTCCCAACAGACACCACCACCGGCGGGACCCAGCCTCTCACCCCTGTAATTGTAGGTTTAAAATCCACTGTGTTTTTTCCTGGAGGTGGGGGACCGGGTGGAGGTGTTCATTTAACTCTTTCCTGTCTCGTTTCTGAGAGCGCTGACGCTCGGAATTGCCCATCACCAGAGCCAGTGTTTTTTAATAGACCGATGAAAGCCTGTTAGAGAGACCGAGCATTTTGCCTGTCGGCTTGTGTTTGTTTTTAAGAAGCAGGAAGGGGCGTGTGCCGCCGAGGCGGGGTCAGGCTGTGAGGGGATGGGGTTCATCTCCCTGTGTGGAGCAGGCGGGACCCTTCGCGATGCCATCTTCTCAGCGCACGTGTGTTTAAAGGGTTTTGTGTGTCGCCCCCTCGGGGAGTGGGCCTTCGGGTCCCTGGCAGTGCCTGCAGGTCAGCGGCTGCCAGTGGACAGCGCCTGAGCACAGCCGGCCATTGGGTGGGGAGGGCAACGGGCTGGCCAGGAGTCGTGATTCTAAAACCTCGGTCTGTCTCCGGGATGCTTTCCTTGTTGCCGTGGGAATCTTCACAACCCTGGGCTGTTTCTGTTGGTTTGTTTTGTTTTGGACGCTGCAGACGTTTTTGTGGTGAAATGTGAGGCTCTAGTGCCTGATACTCATAACTTTCACCATCAACTTTGCTAGTTTGTCAGATGTTAAATACATGAACAACATGTTCTTACGGTTTTTTAAAACAGCAGCACACATTTCTAATGAGGGGAATTACTTAAAGCCAGTTCAATGGTAAAATCAAAAGCAAAGAAGATGATGACTTTTTTGTGACAACCATCTTAATAAAGGAAAAACTGATTTTGTTGTTTTTAATTAAAGAGAGAAGAGACATTCTGGATTTCAAAAGGATATTTTAGGACAAATGCTATGAATCGTGAGTGCGACATCCCCCACCCTTCCCGCAACGTGTTTCTGTAACTGATGCACCGATTTACTTCTGTCGGTTCCTCTGAATCTACCTGAACGTCGGCGTCTGCTGCCTGTGAACTTGGCAGTGACACATTGCAGAGAGAAAGTTTTATATCCTGTAGATTTAAAATGTCGTATGTTGGGGCCACTTTTCCCGTATCTCCTATTTCCTCCTCGTGTCCGTGGTCAACCTCGCTCGCTTGCTCGTGGAAGGATGGTGTCCCCAGGTCTGCTTAGCCCCCTTGAGTAAGGGACCTCTGCCTGCCCCCCACAGCGTGTGGTCAGTGACGGGCTGTGCGACTCATTCCTAAAGTTTTCTCTCTGCTGGAAGACTCCCAGCTCCACCGGACACCCCAGTGGGCCGTTAGGAATGCTCATGCGGGCCACGGACAACGGCCAGGAGGCCAGGAGACTCCGTGGCCCCCGTCCCCCGCTGTTCCGTGTGTCCCCCCGAGTGGCTGTTCAGAGCTGCCTGGTCAGGACGCCCAGATTAGGGCCATTCGTGGAGCCCGCACAGGTGAGCAGATGCCAGCCAGGCAGGTGTCTTCCTGCCCCCGCGAGGAAGCCACAGGGAGGGACCCGCCACGCCCACCTGCCTCCACGCTGGGTTCTCTCGCTCAGTCTCCGCCCCGCCACGTAAGGTAGAGTTTGGCTCAATAACAGCTTTTTCTTTTTTTTTAATCTCTGGAGTCAGGTTGAAAACAACAAACCTGAAGTTTCTACTTTCTCTCCTTCCTGCTGTTTCAGGCTATTAACAAGGAAATTTCAATGCGCTTGTTTAGTGGCACCGTTCTGTTCTCTAAAGTTGGGTCGATCAATGATTCTATGTAAATGTTTTCCGCGGCCTAGTCCAAGTGTACCCGTTCGGAATATTTGGTAAATGACCAATTGCTATTATTTGGGACCTAAAAAGAGCCATTAAACATTCGAATCAATTAATTAAATTTATTTAGTGTCAGAAGAGAAAGATTTCTTATTTTATGCTCCTTCAGGACTTTTCTGATCCTTCAGCTTGTATATTTCAAATTAAGTCGTTTTTCATGTTCCGTTCCATCACCACGTATTTTAAATATCTGTGAATGCATTATATCCATCACACTCCTTACCGTGGAGTGCTGCAGGGATTGAGAGGACAATTTTGGCACAGCACTGCCTGGGTTCTCCTCTCAGCCCCTCTGCTTACATGTACCTTATTAAGTCAACAGTGGACGACTTAATCTCTGCGAGCCTCAGTCCGCACATCTATAAAGTGAGATCCCAACAGCATCTGCCTCATAAGGTTGTTTTGATGATTAAGTGAATATATTTCTGTTCCATTGGGTGGATGGCGGGATGGATAGGCACGTACATAGAGAGATCCACAGATAGATACAAAGGTAGATCCCAGATAGATGGTGGGTAGATAGGTGGGTGGGTGGATGGGAACATCCCTTCCCCCAGTTAAACACTCAATACTTTCCAGATGCCATTGTCATTAGTAAAAAATAAACGCTGATTCAGAGGCAACGGACACGGTGGTGTCTAATTACGTAAAAGTCTATCAAGTTGGGACATACCAGCTGGTCCAGGAAGGTTTTCTTTTCATTCCTCTTTTATTTTTGAAAAGTGTAAACTACTGAAAGTCCACCAAGCTGACACCAGTACGTTTTCTTCCCGTGGGTTTTTCTGAGACAGTTCGGCTCAGCAGCATGCTGTTCACATGTTGCCTTGTCATCTGCTACTATCATAGG